CCAGTATCAAGTAGAGTGCCCCAGAGGTCAGTCTTGAGGCCAGTTTTGTTCATGGTCTACATCAGTGATCTGGAAGATGGGATGGAGTGCACCTTCAGCAAGTTTGTGGATGACAAATTGGGGGAGTAGTAGATGCACTGTACGGTAGAGCTAGGATTCAGAGTAACCTAGACAAAATGGAAGATTGGATCAAAAGAAATACCAAATTTGGTAAGGACAAATGCAAAGTCCTGCACTTAGGACTGAACAATCTCATACACTGGGACGGGCTGGGAACTGACTGGCTAAGCAACAGCTCTGCAGAAAAGGACCTGGGGATTACAATGGACAAGAAACTGAATGTGAGCCAACAGTGTGTCCTTGTTGCAAAGAAGGCTAATGGCATGTAGGGCTGTGTTTAATAGGAGCTTTACCAGCAGATGAAGGCAAGTGATTGTTCTCCTGTATTTGGCACTGGGGAGGCCACATCTGGAGTACTATGTTTAGACCCAGGGGCCACATAGAGGGTTTTGATGAGTTGAGGTGGGCCAGGTCAGCAATGCCCTGTCCCCCTGCAACAACTCACAAAAACTTATGTGGGATGTGGCCACAGGTGGGCAGGGAGCAGTCTTCAGGAGTGGGATGGGCAGGTGAGGCTGGGATCATGGGGTAGAGTCATGGGGTGGTGACTGTGAAATCCTAGGGCAGAGCTGCAATCCACTCAGTGCACACCCCTGCCCTGTGGGTGAGGGGGTGGCAGGGTGCTTCCAGGGTGCTAGGTCTTGGGAGTCAACTGGGGGGAAGGGGGATGGGGGCGCGTGCAGCAGAGCTCACCCAGATGGTGTCCACAGCTGCCCCCATGGCACTTTGCATGAGGCCAAGCCCTGTCTTGGGTAGCCCACACTGCTGTGCTCCAACCTGTGCCCACTGGCCCAGCCCTGATCAGTGTACACATCTTTTGACAGGGCTGCTTCTCGTGGCTGCAGCTCCCTGGGTGCTGTTTGGCTCTCCTCACCTCCAGCGGCAGCTCTTCCTGCTCCTGCTGTGTCACTCCAGGCGAGGAGGAAACTTCAGCTGTGCGGCTTCTGCCTTAGCACATGGGTCTCTGGCACCAGCTCTTGGCTGCTGTCCACCCACTCTGCCACTCCAGTGTGGGTGGCTGAGTGGGTGGCAGGCAGCTAGGTACTGGAGCCAGAGCCCTGCATGCTGGGGCAGGAGCTTCCTGGCTGAAACTCCCAGTTGCCTTCCACCCACTCGGCTGCCTGATACGGTTGGGCAGGGAGAGTGGGTGGAAAGTAGCTAGGAGTGGAGCCAGAGCCCTGCACACTGGTGCAGGAACTGCCCAGCCTTGGCTGGGATGATAAACAGTTGGGGATGGTCCTGCTTTGAGCAGGAGGTTGGACCAGATGACTTCCTGAGATCCCTTTCAACCTTCATTTTCTATGATTCTGTGATGTTTACTAGACATTTAAGGCTGGTGAAGAGAGAGGAATAACTCGAAATGGGAAAGTAAGGCACTACTCAGCTGTGGGAGTGAAGAGGCAGTCAATGTGTTTGACGTAGTGGTTCACCATGACTTGAAAAAGAGTTGGTGCTGAGCGGGTCTGAGTACAATGCGCAATATATCTTATTCAGATGGGCTGCACTAACCTAGCCTTGTGGCAGGTTCCCATCAGTGTGTTTGCCCAATATGGGCCATACGAGCATACTCAGCATGGGCTGTATTCAGTCAACTTCACAACTGGATTCCATGATTCGTGCACATTCTGTTTCTGGCAGCAGTTTAATAATAGCCAATGTATTTAATTGGGCTGGGAGGGAAGGGTTTGCTCACATGCAAATATAAGATGAGGGGCTTTTTTTCCCATGCTGATTTGGGGAGGGACGGGGGGAATGGGACAACCTCATCTTATATTCAAGTAAATACAGTAATCTTCAGTTTGTTCTGGGGAAATACATGGGTAGTGGTTAAGTCAGTGCCTTAAAAAGATACTAATGAGAGAAGATATTGTTCATAGTACAGCCTATACTTAACTGAACCAGCTGGGTCTTTTCCTCTTTTGGATCAAGTAAAACTACTTGTGGATAAAAGGCTAGAACAGACTAACATGTGTTAATCACTTGTTTGGGGGGTGGAAGTGGCGGGGGGAATGATGATACCTGTGTACTGTTTCTAGAGAACTGGGCACATGACAGGGGTATTAGAAAATAAGTGCCTAAAACTGACAATAGTCACGTTGTATCTTTTAAAAAATATTTTCTATTACAATACTGCAAGAGCTATTTAGATGAGTAATGTATCAGTGCTATTTTCCACTGTAGTCACAGGTTTAGACTAAATCTAAGCATGTCCAGCACTTGATAAATATGTGCTCTTATGTTAAACTATTAAAAGATTTGAATAACGGGAATATTTTGAATTTGCCATACCCAGCACTTCTTGATACAGTCCATGGCTTAAATGAGTTGTTGATTGTCTTGGTAACCCAGGTGGTTGATTTAAGAGGCAATGTCAACAAGAGACCAATGTACAGAAATTGGATTCTGTGCTAGCCCATCACAAATACCTTACACACACAGCTGCTTTATTTCTTTTGACTTCTCCACAAACATGTTGTGTTAAGGTCAGACTACATAAATGCAAGCAGTACTTATGGGCTGAAACAGAAATCCAAGTGTCGCTGTAGGAACTTTCACATTGACAGCAGAAATGGGTCTTAGTATTTTTGCCATTGACACCACTGAGAGGTGATCCCTTGCCTTTAGGAAAGTGGCCAGTTCCCAGCTGGATTTAATGTAGGCAATAGGTAATTGAAATTACTTTGGAGTTTCTGTAGTAGAGAGCAGGATGAATCTATTTCTGTTGTGAGGAAAGGGATACCTGAGGCCACCTGCTTGCATAAAGTCTTGCCCTCTTTTTGGGCTAGTCTCTCCTCAGTCAAGCTGGGGAGGAGGTGACACTGGCCCCAGCGGAGACTGGCACGAAGGCTGGATACATCCAGTCCAGATAACCACTGAGTGGAGGGATGGATCGGCTGCTGAGAATAGATAAGCACTGCTTGTAGGAAATGGAAATAAGTGTTCAAATAGTTGAGAGAAATAAAAAAGGAAGACAGACAGGTGTCCACCATTTAATCTCATGTGGCATGATTTATTTTAAAGCAGGGAGGGGAGCTCTTCCTGGCTCAAGTAATAGCACTTCTAGCTTCTGGTCACCTGGTACAATGAGACTCCTTCCACATTTTCTGCTCTAACCACTACCTATAGCTAAAGTTACCATCTCTCCTCACTTTCCTAATTAGACCACGCTGGTCCTATTATTTCAGAATTTCTAGGACATCTATTATTACTGTGGCTTGGATATTCCTGTATGTTCTAAGAGTCATGGTTGGAGAGGGATGTAGAATGATGATCCTTCACTTGTTCTGCTTCCCCACATCATTTACTGTTCTAACCTTGCTGTACCAACTTTGTGAGAAGCAAGGCTTTTTTGGTGGGTGGGTGATATCTTTTATTGGACCAGCTGTGTAGTTGGGATAGACAAACTTGAGTCCAAAAAAGTTGAGGACCACTGGTTTAGAAAGAGCTGAGCCTGCTGGCGGCAGGAGGAGAGATTACTTGACCTTTCCAGGTCCCTTTCAGTCCATTTTGTAGAAGTAAATGCTACATACAGTTTAAGGTGATATGATCAGTGGTCCACATGGACCTTTCTAAAACATTTACATGTGGCAGTTCCTTTATAGGATTTTCTCTTAAGCAGAATTCAGGCATTTAAAACTGCCCTGTTAAAAATAATAATAATCCAAAAAAAGCCACCATCAATAAAGGTGTGAGTAGGGAAAAGAAGTCTGTTACTTTATGTGACTTTAAGCTTTTGCTTTCTGCCTAGTTTTAAAAGAGACAATAACAAATGGAACAAGAACTGCTGCCAAGGCAGAGCTGAGGGGCTGAAAATCAGCTCTAGTTAATAGGTACAGAAGCTCTTGTAAATAAACTGCAATAAACTAATTTAGAAGTAAAGAATGCAGTCTATGCTGTTTCAGTGGGTGGTTTTGCCTCCACTTTAAACATGTTTTACAGCTCAATATTTCATCCAAGAGTGGTTTCCAATTGGCCAGGGCAGCAATTCTCTGCTATATATTTCTTATGGATTTTCCTTTTATTGTCCCTATGGTCCCGTCTCATGAGCAGAAGTTGGGAGCTCAAATTCAAATTATTCAAAATGTTCTTGCTACTCTAGTAAATCTTAATAAACCAAACCTACTATTTATTACTACCCCCAGCTGAGCCCTGCAGTATTTGACATTCGTAAGGACCATAAAGAGGGCCTGGGAAAGCTTTACTGGGGCGGGGGGAGCTGGGACAGAGAAAGTTAGCCTCATTTCCTTTGCAGGAGGCTTGAAATAAGTAAATGCGTCCTTACTGCTGACTAGAATTGTTCTCTATTTAGCTTTAGGCTGCAATTGTTTCATTGCAGTCAGCTCTTCCTCCCCAGTTGTTTTAACACTAGTCAGATTCTTGAAAACCATAGAAAGATGATGATCTGATGCTTTTCAAGTCTTAACCCCTTCTTCATGGAAAGAGCTGTACTTGCAAAACCCCAAGACTTGCTATGCTGCAGAGTGGAACATGTCCTGGTCTACGTTAATACGGCTTTCATTTATAGTGCTACCTTGATGAAGCGTTATAGGATGATACTGCATATTTCTTCTGTGATGTCAGTAGGTTTAGAAGAGACAGCTGAGATTCAGGCACCCTGGTTCCATTTCCAGCTCTGATGCTCATCTTCTCCAAGGTCCTGAAATGTCTGAGCGGCTTAACTAACTAATATTTATTTGTAAGGCACTGGTAAAGACTAAGAGGTTTGAATCATCTCATTTATATAACTGGCACTGGCAATTACACTAATAATTTAACTGTTTTACTGTTGATCATAGAGAAACAAGCAACAAGATGTTGATAATATCCCCTTGTATCCTTGATTCTAAAATTCCCAACACACAGACAAGACCACCAGCTTCCCCATTTCTGTGATACAGTTCATTATTAGTACAACCGTTGTGGTACACTGAAAACAGCCTGCTAGTTGCATAGATAAAATAATTGGACTTTGATACTGAACACCATATGGGTCATTGTACTGACTGCATTCTTCATTTTTATATTTAATTCAATAAAATACAGTTTTAAATTTGAGTAGCAATGAGGAGGAATTTCCAGTCAGCTGTACAATGGAATTCATTAAATCTGTTCCAGAATTATCATTTAGGTCCACAGTACCCAGCAACTTAACTTATGAAATCATTATTGTAATTTAGAGGCGATTACCTAGAACTTTCCAGAAAGTTTATTGGTGGCAGTAGGAGTTTTGGTTAACACATCTAATTATCTGTCTGGAATTTAAGCTATGCGATGCTCTATTCAAATGAGATTTTCATAATTTCTCTTGGTGTTTGACAGAAATCGAAAAGTATAAAAAAACCCCACAGTAATTGATATCTACAAATTTACTAGTAGAAACACTTTGGAACCTTGGGTTCCAATGGGCTGTGGATCAGACCTGACAGAATAAGTGCAAGACAAAGAATTCTCTTTTTAATAAAGATTAGCAATTTCATTGCTTTTAAAAAAAAAAATAAAAAAAAAATTGCATATTGATTAAATTACACAGTAATCCAAATACCATTCCAGTGACTTAAGAGACACTGGAACAAAACCAGAAGAACATAGTAGTGGTGCAGGCATACTAGTTGAGAAATGGGTATTAGGTGCCTGTAGAAGAAAAGCAGTAGTGTAGCAACCTTGTTGTACAACATGCCCTCGCCCATCACACAGAATAAAGACAGTGGAGAAGCAGTGTTAGTCAATGCTCTAAACAGTATTAAAACATCTCTCAAGGAGGGTGAAGAGTGAGACCTCCAGCTGTCTGGTTGGGGATGTGTGCTATGTGAGTAAGTACTCCCCAGGACCGATCAACCTAAATCAGACTTGCTAGGCATCACACAGACTTGTACCTAAAAGACTGAGGACATGCCACAGCTCCCCATCTCACCTGCATGGGCCTTTTCTGGGAGTTCGTCTAGATCCATGTGTTTATGTGAAAGGAAAAAACAGATCCCTGCATAATGTTTTCTTTGATCTACAAATCTGTGATTCGTAAACCTGTTTAAAAACCCAATTTTCTTAGTTTTAAAAGTTTTGATCATGGACATCTACCATAAGCTGGTTTGGGAGTTTAAAAAAGAAAAAATCAGAAGCAATCCTTTCTCGAATGTCCATCATATTGAGAGTCTTTTTAGAAACAGTATGTTCAGTTAAAACTGGATCCTCCTTTAAACTGATCCTGTGTCACGATGGAAATTTGAAACTTCTCCCATGCACTAACGTTGATACTAAAAATAAAGAGAGACAATGAAAACAAGTTAAGTGCTTGCGACAGAAGTGCTCATTGGCAGTGAAGCAAATGGTCCTCAGAATTTTACTTCACTGAGACACCATGCAGAAAGATTAAATGAGTATGTGGTACCTTGCAACAGAAAAATTTGTACAATACTGCTAATTCTTTTTTGATAGCTAGAGCCTACTTCTAGCTATTCAGGAGACATATACTTGATTGTTGTCAGTAGATGTAACTTAAACACTTAAAAGTAAAACCTTACTACCAAAATAGCCACCAGAAAAATCACTCAGAATGTTTATCCTATTTTCTTCATTTACATTTATGAAGCAATACTCCAGCTAGGCTGTAGTGGTAAGAAATGTAATTGTGAAGCTGACAGATTTCTGAATTCAACATGCAGACTGTTGAAGTGTGACTGCCAATAGAAAGAGAATGAAAAAAATCAGTTTTTCTTGGCACCAAATATAAATTTAGATGCTAGATTAGACAACTTTTAAACAATGTGTGAAGAACTCGCTCCGATTTTGACATACAGTAGTATTAAAGGATTTCCTTACAGTAGTATTAAAGGATTTCCTTACAGTAAAACACTACAAAGGTTATAAGCAATTAAACTCCATTGTTTCCTAGCATAATTTGCGGTACAGTAAGTGCTCAAGGTGTGGCTTTATTTTATCCTCAGTAAACAAGAGGGGGAAAAAAAAACTCTCATACAGATTGTGGTCTTGGCATTTCAATTGATTCTGCCAGCAAATGGATCCAAATCATCTACCTCACCTAGATCCGAATTTTAAATTACAGTTCAGTTACCTAAAGATCAAAACCAAATTTGAGAGACAGGAAGCCAAATGTTTTCAGTTTGGCAACCCAAAGTCATTTCAGAGAAGTTTAACTTACCTGTACTCCCCTCACCCCCAAAATGCAATACCTAAGTAGACGTGAAGGACAGCAGTATATCTACTTAAGACCTTCAAAAGTTCAGCTAAAAGAGCAGTGATTTCAGTCACTTTTCCTATTAGGCACTGTGTTAACATGATTTTTCTTTTTGTCAGGAACAATAAAGAAAACCAAAACTTAACACTTTAATGGCTACACTGATCATTAAAAACATAAAGCAAAGCCAAACAAAACCTGAGGCACACTTTGATATCAGCAAGTTCAAACACTTCAAAAAGCATGACTTCAAACCTGGCATCACATCTCTACAGCGCAAGGTCTTTAGGTTTGTTTTTGACCTTAGTTACACAATTGCAACAACACCTTCGCTTAAGGCAATTTGGTAGGGAAGGTGATTTACCAGCCTTTCACCTCACCTGCACCCCATTCAGAGAGAGTAAGGCTCTCATCTTGCAATGGTGCTGAACCACAAACAGGTGAGCAATCCCTGAAGGCAAAGGGAGCTGACTGCGCACACGCACGCTCCACTATCGAGTCCTCACAACTCTGGACAGGACTGGCTGCGCCGCCGGGAGGAGGCAGAGCCAGGAGCGCCGTTCTGCGACCCAAGCACAGTAGGGCCCAGCTCGCAGAGCGAGACACAAAGCTGCCCTGTCAGAGCCGGCGCGGAGGAAGCTGAACAGCGCCTCCTGAACAGATACGACTCAGATCCAAATCCTGTCACTCAAGTGCTGCCTGATCCCCAATGCAGAACAACCGCGCTGTGCGAGGAGAGCGGTGCCTTTCGGACCAGGCGGCAGCGCTCCTTCAGGGCTGCGCGCCCCGGATGCCCCCGAGCCCCATCCTTACCTTCCTCATCAGCTCGTCCCTGGTGGTGAACCGGGGGGTGTCTTCCACTGTGATCCCCTCAGCCATGTCCATGACCTTGTCCAGGAGGTCTCGGCTGTAGCTGCACCAGAAAAAGACAGGGCCTGTAAGGAGCGGCCAGTTGTGTGGGGCCTCGCGCTGCACCTGCAGGTGGGGAGGGGGCGGGGCGGTACCTGGTAGGGCATACCTGCAGTGGGCGGAGCCACACCTGCAGGAGGGGGAGGGGAGGGGCCGTCCCTAATGGGTCACACCTGAGGGGGGCGGGGCCGCACCTGCAGCCCAGGAAGACGTGGTTGGCCCAGACCATGGAGAGCGCGAGGAGCTGGTCGAGGCGCGCGGCGGCGGGCGTGCCGTCAGTTGGCAGGTGGCGCAGCAGGAAGTCGCGCCGGGCCTGCCAGTGCTTCTCGGTCTCCGAATAGGCGCGGAAGCAGTCGGGGACCGCGGCCTCGGCCTCGTCCTCCTCCTCGCCCACCATCCCAGCTCCCTGCCGCCCCACTCCCACCATGCCGCGCGGCGCCGGAAGCAACCGCCACGGAGACGGGAAGGCGTCGGCTAGCGCGGCCCAAACAGCTGCCCGCTCTATCTCGCTGAGACGCTCTACTGCTCTGGAGGACTGGCCCGGGATGTGGCACGTCAGTGTTCTGTCGAGCAGCGGGGCCTGGTGCCCTTGTGCGCATGCGCCCTGGGTCTCCCAAGCCCTTCTCCCCCAGGGCCATGGGAGTGACCCCGAAGGGCCAGGGTCCCTCCTGCTCAGACCTCTGCCCCAACCAGCCCCAGGCCAGCACTGGTGGTCGTGAAACCCTGCATAACAAAGCACATGGCTAGCGGAGACCAGGGCAGGGACAGGCCCAGGCACCCTTGGCAGGGGCCCAGGCCAGCTTGGCGGGACAGCCGTGCCACGTGAGGGACACCCCGGTCAGGGCTCGCCGTCTGGCTCTGGAGGGAAGGACGAGCCTGGTCCTGCTCGCCCGTGCTCTGGATCCACCCCAGTGCTGGTGTAAACCTCCCGAGTCCTGCTTCCCCCCCACAGCGTGAATGAAAACGTCAGGTTCGCTCCCACGTGCGCAGGCAGCGGGGCCGGGCTGCCTCCGTCCTCGTGTGCGGAGGGTCACCGAGGGCCCCGAGCAGCCCGCGTCGGGGCGAAATCTGCGGATTGCACCAAAGGGCGCGCCAGCGTTGTGCAAACTCTCCAAAAGCCCTCAACCAGCCAGGAGACTGGGCAACACCTTGACAGAAGTGATTCAGTGCAGGCAAGGGCACGCAGGAAGCAACCATTTGACTATTTGTACACGTTGCCAAGTACAAAATGAACTCCAACCACTCAGGAAATAAATAAATAAATAAATAAAAGACCTATGCATCACTGTTACCAGCTCGGTGAAAACACCAATTCTGTGTTCAGCAGCAGTTACAGAGACAAACGAGATGTAGGCACAGGATAAACAATAATACAGGAAACATTCAAATTAACGGTGTGCCATCGTCGTCAGCGTTGTGTCCAGATCCAGATACTTCATTTGAAAAAGTAAGTGGAAGTGGTCTGAAGAAAGGTAATAAGATTAACAGTTTGGGGAGTCTTCCATAGAAGAAACAATAGAAAAGCACCGTTTAGTTTTGAGAGGAAGACAGACATGAACTAATAGAAGCAAATTATATGGTTCAGACAAAGACCACAAGCAAACGAAGCATTCAGTGAATTAAAAGGAAAACAATTCTAATCCAGATTCACAACAAGTGAAGATCGCTTTAAATTCTTGTGGGGAAAAAAAATGTCCTTTACTGGACTCCTTTTAAGTTAGCTCCTTAAAGCAATAGGATACTGATTCTGGGTTCCTTTTATAATTAATGAACAAATTAATTTAGGGAGGCAGAATTTATTCAACCAAGATGGAGTTTGGTTTGAACGTTGGGATTAATTACAAAAAATACCACTGGGCATTTAATGGGTGTACGTTTTGGTTTTATATCTTATCTGTGGCATTGGTTCATTAATAATAAATGAACGTGAATAACAAGACCTTTCTGTTCTTTAGACTTCCATGGCAAGATCTAAACACAGTTTAGGACTTTAATTAAATGGATCGTCCCAAGATTCTTGTAGCACAGGTATATGTTATTACCCCTTATTTTACTATTTACTACTGGGGAAGAGAAGGCACAGAGAACTTGAGTGGCTTGTCAGGAGTCAAAGAGGAAGTCTGTGGTGCATCTGTAAACTAACCCATTTCACCTGACTCTCAAACCTTGTCTTTGAGCAAAAGATCATCCTTCTGCGCAGGTTCTGCACTGAGTTTAGTCAGAGGAAGAAGGACCAAATAATGAGCTACCAATATCTTCCTCTAATTTCATCTTTCTTTTTGTAGCTCTTGGCTAACTAAACATTCTTCCATCCAAATACAAACCCAATCCAAACTAGGACGAGCTGATCCTTTGGACACAAATGTAATTTGCTTTCTTGCTGCAATGAAACTCATTGCTATTGCTTGTGGTCCCCAGTGGGGTTAGTCACAATGGTCAAGATAAGCTTCTGCGTAAGTGTTAGTAGGATTGAGGCCTTGGTTTCTGAGATGTGATGAAATCACAGCTGGAGGTGCTACATCTATAGCTTCTTTGGCATCTTTGTGGGAGGTTTTATATTAATAGTCAATGAATTCAATGTGTCAGAAACAAACAAATCTTTAAATATTTAGAGATTAGTAGTTCCCTAATAAAAAATTTACAAGTTTAAAAAAAAAAAAAAGACACCTGATCCACCAGAGTGGCATTTAGATGCTCCGGTGATAGGCATGATGCAAATGCCGACAAGAGAGCTCAGATAACAGAGATTTTGAAAGATGTTTGCACTCAGCCTGTAATGAAAGCTGCTGAAGTTCAGAGCTTGTAGTTACTGACAAGTGTCTAATAGGAAGCAGACAAAGGCTGTGGTAGATCAGTGTGCTTACATAGCCTGACTTCCCTCCTCCATGGCTCTATTTGGGCATAGCTTTTTTGAAGAGGAAAGATTAACAGTGACTCTGGAAGTTAGGGGGTGGGGGACCCTCTTTCTGCCTGAGAGAGCTCATACTTGTATCTCCCACCTTCCTGGATGGCTTCCTACTCACCATGTGATAGTTCAATGACATCGGTCCTGACTGGCTCAGGAGCCACAGAGCTGCAGCTAATTCGCCTCAGGAGGAAGTGAGGGAACACACCCAAGTTCAAAAGAAAAACCTGCGATGCGTCACATACATAGTGGCATTAGTGTGGATGTCCTTTGCCCAGTACATGGATTGGGAGGAAGGAAGAACTTCAATGATGCTTTCTGTGAAGAGATGCAGGTGGAAAGTTGGAGAGTCACAGGTAGCTCAGGAGCCACAAACGCAGTGTTACTGTTACAGGGTACCCTGTGTGGGGACTGGCTCTCTGCAGTGTCCTGTCAAAGTTGCTCCAATGTTCAGAAAAGACTTCCAGCTTCCTCCTTGCAGCCCAGAGTAACGTGACTAAGAGGTGTGGAGGGGTGTGATTTCAGATCCTTTGTGCTGTGAGTGACTTAAGCACCAGGCTAGAGAGCCAGGTTGTGTCTTGCTCACTCTGGCTCAGCCCCTCTTTTCTTTTTTCTTTTTTTTTTGTACAATGGAAAAGTGTGAACAGGCTGACTAGAACGTGCTTCCCGCAGCCCCACACAGCCCGTAGCCTCATGGCTCCTGGGTGAATCCCCACCAAGTAGAAAGGGAACTGAAACCAGGTCCTCCGCAGCTTAGATAAATACTCTTACCACTAGGCTAGTATCTAAAAGGGAAGCGTCATTCCCTTGCCCTGTGTTTGAAAGAGTGACCTCTCCTCCGGTTTTGAAAAAGCAAGCATAGGAAGCATAGACAGCTGCCTCCTGAAGAGGGTTTGACAGATGCAGCCACGTGCCTCCCTGTACCCCAGAGGAAGATGACAAAGACTTGTCAAGGAGTGGGATTTCACATACACCCCTGTCCTCACCTTTCCCATTGGCAGCTCCATGCTCAGTGTGCTGCAAGTTTCGGATCCCATTCTTAGAGACCTGCCTCTCCTCTGCACCCCAGGTACCTAACCCCCACCTGCTGGGGCAGAACGTGGGTGTCGCAGTGCTGTGGCACCTAAATCCCAGTTTGGATCTGGTCCTTGGGCTGGACAGGGGGAGTGTAGCAGGGGCTGGGATTGAGTCTTGCTGTGGTTTGTTTATATCACAAGAAATTTGAAAATAAAACTGAAAAATAAGGGGAGGGAGGAGTGTTGGCTCATGTGGGCCTTCTGCCAAATGTATTTCTAGAATCATTTCTCTTACCTCCTCCTGTTCAAAAACAAAAGGAACACACCAGGAACAACAACCCAACATACAGATCTGTCACCTTGACTGTTTAAAGGAAAGGACTGGGAGAGGAAAAGGAGGAAGTCAGTAGCCCTGGAAACAAAATGGAAATACCCATACATCCCGCTCCTCAAATCGCTGTCAATACAAAGGGCAGAGAATTGTGTTGTGCAACAGACTCAACTCTGCACCATGTAGGAAGGGGCCGGCTCTCCAGCCTAGTCCTGGTAGTGAGAACTTGTGCAAGGGGCATAGGCAAGGTTTCTTGACATTGCTTTTCAAGCTTCTGTAATATCTATGTCAAGTTTGGATTCATGTATTTAAAATAATTTCCAAACTGTAAACTCTTTTTTCCAATTGCGCCTTAAGTCTCTGTCATATCACAGCTGCCATGAGCAGAGAACAGAAAGAAAAACACAAGAATATGTAAAACTTTTCAGACTCTGATAATGGCTGTAATTAACATCACAAGGCTATGGAAATTGCAATATTCCCCAAAGATTGCCTGTCATTCTTTTGTATTACTGCAGTGGTAATAAAGATTTAAAAACAGGATATTTTCTGTGTTTGGAACTGTCCTGCTAGCAATAATTAATATTCCAGTTCCTCATGGCTGTGTCAATCCATTCTTAATATTTGTGCTAGAATGGCACTTCTGAGGTGTATTGTGTGGAAGCTGTATCCTGTCATAAAGTGAGCACATGACTCTTAAACAATGTATGTTGCTCCGGGTCCCAAATGGGACCAATTTATGCCTTTTCCTTATGACCTTCAAGTTGCTCTTCCCAAGGGTGTAGCATGCTCTGTGTTGACCAGTAAGCAGGCCAGTAAAATAAATAACATACCATTGTAAATTCCAGGGTGAGTTTAACAATCTGGAACTCAGTGATGTGGCATAATGAATTATTCCTGTCTATAAACACACACCAAAGGTAAGAAGAACTTTGCATTAAGGAGGAATTGTGGCCTTTTAGGGCCCTGGAGTGGAATTCAGCATATGTGGGTTTGCATCTCAATTCTACCACTTACATGCTGTGTGAGCTTGAGCAAATAACTTAAGCTCTCTGTGGTTAGTAAAACAGAGTAATGAATCCTAAACTCTCCAGATTTTGAAGACATGTTATTGTTTGTTTTACTTTCATATGAGGGTTTTTAATGGCTGGATCTTACTTAACTCTGAGCTTGTCTAATTTGGACAACTGTCATCTTGGTTGATATACCAG